AAGGGGACACGCTGAACGCCATCGCGCTGCAGTACTGCTGCTCGGTGAGTCCCCGGCGCCTCTGACAGGGCGGAGTGGGCCGCAGTTCCGCTTCCAGCGCCTTTTTCACTTAAAGCTAGTGTGAGTGTAACGAATCAACGTGTGGTTCTTGGCAGTGTGTCTCAAAGTCTTCGCGCCGTGATGAAAGCCACACTTGCGCGCAGTCACGCGCGGTCCAGACGCCGTCGGAGTCCGCGATGAGGAGGGTTTTGCCGAACTACCTGCAGGGCTCTCATCCCATGGGGCGGGGGGGAACACCCCGCATCTGCCAAGTTGCCTAATTATTTGTCAGCAGGAGCCTGTTGTACCATCGGGAGCGCTCTGCCCATGTGCCCCACGCGTCCCCTCCAGGTGGTCACACCGCCCTTCGTCTGGTAGCTGGACAGTTCTTAAATCAGTCTGGTGAATGTCCTCCCTACCCAGTGCTTTTGGCTGGCCAGTACGCATGAAGGCGGAGGCTTCTGTCTGGGTGGATGTTAGCCTCTGCGTGTATCCAGTTGTAACGGGAGATAAGCTGTGCGTGTAGGTGGACTGACTGCTGCCTGTGCAGTTTTCGAGAGGTCAAATTTAGTCAAATTCAAAATCCCTATTTACAGAATCCCTTGCTGTTGTCTAATTCTTCAGGCAGAAACAGAATTAGGGGCCTCCTGTTGCCAGCTTAGGTGCCAAAATCTTGACATAACTATTTAATAACTCTGACAGACCTTAGACTTGTTAAGCAATTCTTGGCTTTAGAACCCACCACAATTAGGTATTTTGAGCTGGCTTACTAGTTCAGGTGTCAAATAAGAAATAAAATGTAACTCAGTTGCTCTCTATCTTGGAAATTCATGGAGAATGTGGAAGAGCGAAAAAAAAAAAGAGCGGTCCAGGGCTTTAGGCAGAAAGCATAACTTGCGCTGCAGTGGAATCACTGATCACTGGGGTAAATGCAGCATTTGGTAGTTTTTTATGCTCATGTGACTTACTCAGCGTGGTACGCGTAACAAATCACTGTCACAGGAACCCAAACGCTCTTTCACGTTACAAGGTTAGCGCAGGCAGTAGGCAGGTTTCCCTAACCTACTTTTTCTGGCCCCATCTGTGTTGTAAGGGGAGCAGTCACAGCAACAAGGGTCTCTCGACTACCTTGTTTTGTGTCTGTAACTTCTCCTGGGGTAGGTGTCCTCCCAATGAAGACAGGAAAGATCTGAACTTGGGTACAGTGCATCTTGAAATGGGTGCAATTCCAGCATGCTTACCTGGTGTTGCAAAAAAGTACGGATTGCCAAGTACTTGATTACAGTGAGGTTTGCGGCTGTGCCTGCCATGTTGAGGGAGTTACTTGCCTCAGAATGATGCTGCTAATTCTCCAAGGGCACTTAAATCCTTGCAGAGTATTTCCCGTTCGACTTAAAATCTGAACTTACTGAGAGCAAAATGAGATTAATTTTTGAGTGAGAATAGGGAAAGGGGAGAGCTGACTTGATGAAGATGACAGTTTTAAGTTACGCTTGGTTTTTGCCTTAGCCCCCAGAAGCAGAAAGAGTACGCAAACCACAGCTGCGGCTAGGTGAATTGGAAGCTCATAACTTTTAATATTCCTTACTCAAAAGTTTTCAATTTAATTAGGAACTCACAGTGATTTACTTCACACTTACAACAACACTGATGTAAAGTCCCATTCTTTTCACAGAGATAGCTGCCACTGATAGATGGATGTACATTAAGTGAATGTGTATGCCTGAAGTGACTTTCAGTCGTCTTACCTGAAGTGAGGAGGTTTGTTACCTCATAATTACCTTCTTGCTTTAACATTGTTCAGATTTGGTCTTTGACCTCCTTTCCATACTGTTTGAATGGGTATCGGTTTACAAAGGGGAAAAAAAAAACCAAACCAACCTGCCTTTGTTTCATTAGGGAAGAATTGTATTTCCCAAGGGTGCAGTACTCTTATTTAAGAGTTTCGGTTCAATGGGGCTTTGGTATTTAAACTGTTGTTTTTATTTTTAGGTCGCAGATATCAAGAGAGTTAACAATCTTATCAACGATCAAGATTTTTTTGCCCTGAGGTCTATCAAAATTCCAGTGAAAAAGTTCAGTGTGTTGACCGAAACACATGTCTCTCCAAAAGGAAGACCAGTCCTTCGGCCTGCTGTGTGTTCCCCAGAAGTGCAGGAAACATCACTGTCTGATAAATTCTCTGCTAATGAGACTGCTGGCAACTTCTTAAAAGAAGTGGATCGAGATATAGAAGAAATAGTGAAGTGTAATGATACAAAGAGAGAGAATCTTAATGAAGTTGTTTCTGCCTTAGCAGCCCAACAAATCTGTTTTGAAACTGATGGTAAAACCAAGAAATCCAAGGATCCATACTATGGAGCGGATTGGGGTATAGGATGGTGGACAGCCGTAGTGATTATGTTGATCATTGGCATAGTAACTCCAGTTTTCTATCTCCTGTATTATGAAGTTCTAGTGAAAGCAGATGTCAGTCACCATTCTACTATGGAGTCTTCCCATTTGTTTGTCACAACAGCATCACATCAGAAATAAATAGAAAATGGAATAAATCCGGTGAATATTATAAATGTTGATAATCAAGGAGACCTTCAGCCTTAACCACAGAAAATCCAAGGCAACAGTTAGTCCTAGACACGTAACACAGCATTAGATAAAGGGGAAACCACAGAATGCAAAATGCATCTGGAACGCAGAGAAAATGAGTACTAATGTCTGACTTGCCTTTATGGGCAGTGTTCCAGTACAAGGATATTTCTGTGGATCACGTAATCTCTGAATATGCCCAAGATGGGTAATTTTAATGCAAGAATGGGATATAAATTAAGGTATAAAATTGTCTCTGAAGCTTTGCACTTTTTTTCTATTTTGATAGGAATATGTTTTTTAATGAGATGACGTGAAAAAATGTAGTTTGAACTAACACATGAGGAGTCTCACTGTGTTTTACAGCCCTAAAATGGGCATTTGGGGATATCTAACTTTTAAACATCTTAAAGTATTTATAGAATGCATAGTACACTTGACATTTTAATATCGGGTTTACAGTTGTCAGTTAAAACTGTGTTCTCATATTTTTATCTTTCTTATAGAGTAAGATTTTTTTTATTTTTAAACCCAATCATTCCATAATTAATTGCCACTATGAAGTTCTTTTTAAAAAAGTGAATTTTGTAGAGGCAGTAGCTGATACTTAAGCTGGAATCTTCAAATCTTGTGCCTGTGGTCAACCCATTCTTTAGTACTTTCCAGTATAGGCAGTAGGATAATTAGTTTTCTGTGTACGCGATACTGTGCCTCAACACGGTCCAGTTGAGACTCTTGTCAAAACTTCACATCCTTCCATGGTATCTGATGGAAAACAGACTGGGCTGGACTGCGCTTCTCTGGTCAGTGCAGATGTGTGGCACCTGGCTGTGACTGCGTCAGTAGTCTTTATTTTATGCTGTTGGATTTCCTCCCCCCCTCTTTCCCCCTCCAGTTAGTCTCCGATCAGGACCAACTGATTTTTCAGACAGCAGGTGTGGGTACTGAGTATGCTACTGATCATGTGCTCACGAACCTTAAGCACTAACTTTTTCCTGAAATCTGTTAGAGTACTTCAAATGAGATGCAATGGCTGCTAGCAAGAAACTTAAATTCTGCCAGAATAGGCCAGTTGCAGCTTCAGGCTTGTTCTTTACGTAGTAGTCTTTTCATCAACCACTCTGTTCTTGAATGTTTCACTTGGGGTTTCATGAACAACCTTGGTTTTCCCCTCTTTTGTTCTCTACCTGAAAATGGTACAAGGTAAACAAAAAAAAACCCAAACTGGACTCTTCCTACAAAAAGGAGTGACTTGTGTACTCAGAATATTTTAAAATAAAAACAGATGCTGCCTATAATTTTTTTTTGTTATATTTGCCTTGTGGAGTAAGGTTTCCATTGCCCTGTTCAAAGTACCATTTGTTATCAAAGCCCAAGATGACTGACTTGAATAGGACGTGCAAAGACAGAAATGGAAAAATACCACTATTTTAACTACTAGTATAAGCTTTCCTTTGAGTGTCTTCACTAAGTATATACAGTATAAGAAGCTGATAAAGTGAATGTTTCCTGACTATTGGACGTATTCCAAGGTGCTTTATCAACTTGAATTTTGAAAGTAAAGACTCACGCACCGTCTATTCTTGGGGCACCAATTCTTTACTGGCATGCTGGGTGTATGAACACAAATTGGGTAACTTTTAATGTATTATATTGAAATTGAAGCAGGCCAGAGCTCAAAGGGAAATGCTGTACAGTTGGATCTGTGAACTACGATCTGTGGCTCTTGAACCCTTTGATCAAAGTGGTATCTGTGGAGATAGTGTGACTGCTCATAGTTTCCGCACGAGAAGAGGGATTGCAAACAGGCATGAACTTCGTGTTTTGCAGAACGCTTGTTTTCAAAGATCTTTCAAAATAATAGCTTTTTCCATGAAAAGAATATGCTAATAATACAAGCGTGAATACTGAAGTACCAGTTCTGGGTAAGGCTGTATGAAAAACTGTATTGCAAAATAATTTATGGTGGCTAACATGATACAGCTTCTACGGCTAAAGCTTTAAAAGATGACTTACCCAGTCCAGACAACAGCATTTTTCTATGTAAGACTGAAACTGGGGTACATAACGTGCCAGTTTTCTGCTGTAAGCTTATTTGCTGGTTTGCTTCTTCCTTCCCCTTCATTCTGTTTTTGAAACCTCGACACTTTTAATACTTTATCCTTCCATTTCAAAGAACACTGTCAAAGAACATGAAATTAGCTATAGTGATGATGCAACATAAGCCTAATCTACTGCACATACTTGAACGGGTGGCTATTGAACTGCCATCGGCACAGAAGTGAACCTGACTTCAGTTGTGGTTTGCTGAGACAGGAGGGTCTTCATCCTGTTGGTGTACCAATAATGACATCGGTGGTTAACTGTTGCTTTTTGTCCTGTGGTGGTGCAGCTCAATAGTTCTCTCACATATCTCGGGCTTTGGGCTTTTACAGCGTTGGAAGGTGTGTGGGTTACTGTCACCCAGTTAAGTGTGGTGGGCTTTTATTTACTTTATGATAAGCAGTGGTTAGAAGAACGCAAAGGGATAGCTGTTTTATTGAGCCATATTGTACTCAAACCAAGCGCCTAGTGTGGTTCTATTTTATTACATACCATATTTCATATAGCATATTTTTATTTTAGAGAGTTAACTTTATGAGAAGATACAGGAGGTCTCTTTCCGAGATGGTAGGACTTGCAGTACTGGTGATCTGCAGGCATGAGCTGGCATGGCTTGCTGCAGGATGCAGGGGTCTTCGCTTGTTTTTTCCAAAGTACAACATAACTGGCAATGCAGCATCATGCGTCAGCCCTGAATAAACAGGGTAACGGCTCAGTACGGAACTTAAATCGGATTTAAGTTAAAATCTCTAGAGTTAAGTCTTCTAGAAACTGACTTGTTTTAAAAACAAACAAAACAACTGAGTGGTAAATCATGTTTTAGGTTAATTACAACACATTGTTGATCAGGAAGTTGTTTTTAAGTGCATATTGCACTGTTGGATCATGTAAAATATGTACCTGCTTTAAATCTGCTATATTTTGGAGTATGTTATTACTGTAAGTCAGCAGAAACAAAACTTTCCAAGACTGAAAGAGACTAAGAATTTGAACTTCAGAAAGCAGGAACTTCTTTATTGCAGCGCTGGACACACAGGGGATCACTCTGCGTAGTGTGTGTACCGAGTTGCTCCACTACAAAAGTTACATACAATCAAAATACACATATTCATCATATTTCTGAAAAACAATTAACATATTCATACAATTTCCAAGAACTCATTAATATATGTAAATGTCTGTGACACATCCGCCTTCAGGCACACTGGTGGTCATCCGTAGTCTTCCTCATTGTGTCCACTCGTTGAACCTGATCTTTGCTCTTGCTCAGCTTGGTCGCAAAATTCCATTCCCCCGTTAATCCTGGAACCTCCAGGTTTTCTCGGTTTACTAACTAGGCCTACAACTTACCACTTTCTTGACAGGTATATCACAGCTACATTGTCTAACAGTTAATTTATAATGAAATCATAGATAGATCATACCTAGTTACCATTACACAAATTATTTATCACAAACTATATGTCATGGTTTTAATTTTCATTGATCGGTCTTTTGATTATACTATTCTATCAATATCCATACCCAAAATAATCAGCTGTTGTTTCTATTAATATCTATTGATTGGTTCTTGATATTTAAATCAAGAAGGGAAGGGTACGGGGGTTTCTAAGCAGCATCACTGGTGCATAACAAATTTCTATAGTTACAGTACTCAAACAAAACTTCTCTGCTCACTTCTTCATTGTTTCGTCCAGTTCCTATTAGTTTCTTGATACAAAACAGTAACTACCTGGTGAGGATCCTGTGGTTGTGAGTTTCAAAACACGCACCGTTCTAACATTCTGTTTCTACTACAATCAAATTTGGTGATTTTACAATATTGTTACAAATAGTCTTTGTATAACTATTTTATAAAGGCTGAAAATACAACTTTGTAAAATAATCCTGAGTGAGGACGCAAGCCTTATTTTAAATAATTCTGCTCCTCTGCTTTTAGAACATGAGTAACATACATAAAATAAAGATTTTATTTTAGACTGCAGTGGAAGTGGTGCATATAATGTATTCTTAGCTGTATACACTTTGCATGTTTTATTACAGGAGGCCAGTACTTGTATTTGTTTTGGCCAGTTTTTATGTATGATCTAAAATAAAAATCCTTGGCCAACAAGTATTTTGTTGGCAGTAGCTGCACACAGCATTCATATCTACCATACCGTAACTGCAGCCTTAATGGTTTATCCTGTGCATGCCTTGTAGAACTTGGAACTTTTTTGCATAAAGTTGTGAGAACTTGTTAGTCCTGTGAAATGAGGATTAAGAAACAAGCATGAAAAATTAACATAGTAATCAGTGAAGTTTGGAGATGGTGATCTCCCTACATGCTAAAATCAGTGCCGCCTTGTATGAAGTAGCAACGTTCTGTTGCTGTGCTACTGATACAGGATTTGCACATATGCCTGTCCAAACCTGAAGTCTGCTGAGACCCAAAGAATGGACCTCTGGAACAGCACAATCTCATTTCATTTCAGAACTGCTTTGGCATAGAACTGTTTCACTGCAGAACTCCTCGTTTTCCTAAGAGTTGGACTTACTTGCTGTTGTGGTTTGAGAGACCCATAACAATTTGTTGTCACTCAGACAATCATTCTATCACCTGATGATCCCCCCGACCCGGGAAGGGGAATCAGGGAAAAGCAAGGAAACTTGGGAGCTAAAGTATAAACAGATTTGATAGAGTAAGATTAGATAATTAACATCTGAGATAATTAACAGCACTAAAGAACCAATATTGATCCCGACACCAATACAGAATATGCAAAGATTATACTCAGCCAATTCTATCAGTAGGAAGCTGTGCACTCCCAGCAGTGGACAGTAAATGTCGGACACTGCGAGCGCTACAGCTTCAGGGGGAGGGGAAGTCCTCAGGAGTCCGGCACCGGGCACGAAGTTCTCAGGATGGCAGC